AGGGAGTTCAAATTTACTACATTCATTATTATTTTCTACATATATTAAATATTCCTCTTTTGATTATTGATGTAAATATAAAGTCTGATACAGGTTAAGTGATGCAGGTTCTATCAAATCTGGTTTTTAATTCACAGTTTGTGACCATAAGTACAAGATTTATAATGTTTTCTCCAAAAGGAAAACTTTGTTACTTTGAATTAATATGTACAGTTTTGCATCAACTAAAAGTGGCTTTAAGACATATTCTTTAAATATGGATTCTTTAGTTATATCTACTTTGCTATTGTAAAATAAACATTTTTGCTGGATTTCAAGCATAAATTTGTTGGGTATCTTTGGTACATTTGATGGTGCAGATAGGATCTGGAAATATTGCAAACCATTAGCGGGACCATGAAATAAGTAACATTAACATTATTGTGGATTAATCGTATCCTTGACTAAGAGTCTTTCAAGGATATGAATCGCAAGAGAAAACATCTGAATCATCTACCCACATTTTTGTCTTCAATAAAGATGCAATATCACTCCGATACGCATTCACACCTGTCATACCAGAAGAAGTTCAGTTATAACTAAGTACATGTATTTCACCAGAAATTCATATAATATTAAACTGGGTAAACATTACGCTGATGGACAAAAAACGCAAAAATAAAGTTGACGTTTGGACCAAAGATTTATATGAAACTTGTTTAGAGCTAGATGCTTACTGCAAAAACTAGCAATTTATTTGATTAGCGGTACAAATATTTGGAAAATAACCCCCCCCCCCTTCCCGCCAAACAAACAAACAAACAAACACATAAAGCAAAGCAAATAACAAAACAAAAACAAAAAAACAAACAAACAAACCCCCCAAAAAAAAGAAAAAAAGAAAGAAATAAAAAGGAACAAAAAACAAAGAAGCAAAATATTAGATGGGTACAATATTTACAATTCGTTCTGACTTATTCTAGAAAATACCTCCAGATGTTTTCACCCATTTTCATTCACAACTTTTGACAAAAATCTTCAGCCTAATCAACGTCATTATGTCTTTAGAGCCCGTTCTTGGGGCGGTCGTGGCCTTGCATACATTTTACATCTCAAGTATTTGTCACCCTAATCCCTGTACATCTCAGAACACGGCTTATTTACCCTAACAGAGCCTTCCCTTTTGAGCCATTTTATTAAAATTCAATTTCGCTTTCGTCTACATGACCTTGGATGTTAAAGGATAAACAAGTAGCCGGTTCCTTGAATACATTTCGGTAGCTTACAACATTCAAATTAACTAGAAATTCCATCACGGTACCCGCAGTTCCATATTTCCGGCAAACAACCTCTATCAGTTATCCTGCCGCGCTGGTTTGCATATTCCAATTAAGTAAAACTAGGTTTTCTCTACAGGTCAATATATTTTGTGAAATTTTTATCTTTACCTGCTTGAAAATAGATAACTTGAACTTACTGAGCATGTTTGTTGAAAGAGTGGTGAATTTCGTACACTTGTACAAAAGAAAATTCCACTTCTGCGTTGCATTAGATTTTAACACATCAAAGACATATTTGTGTATAATTGCAGGTTCTTTTTTGACATCCGTAAATAGTTTTTTGAAACTTGAATTTATTCACATTCAAAAGATTTTTTTAAGTCTTTTGGAAAGGAGGCGGGTTGTATGAATGAAATTTGATTCTATCATTCAAAATACTGATAAGTTTTGGACGGTAGCCGGATAACTTTCGCTAGAGGCTGAATGTATACATTAGTATAACCAGTGACTTAATTTACTTTAAGAAATATCTATATAGTGTAACTGACGGTATGCCAGTAGCAGTTATTCTGTAGCGAAAGTTGTATGCAGTATAATCTGTAGTAACTGTGAAATTGTAACTCTCTGGTGGACCAAATTTGGACAACTGGTTTGCCTGCCCGAATTTTCTCATCAAGAGAGCTACGATCCTGCAGCTAAATCTGTATTAGGCGGAAGTTGTCATGATGTGAAGCGAAAGTTTTATGCAGTATCATTGTATGCAGTATTATTGTAACGATATACAGTATATAATCTGTTTGCAGACCGGGGATAGAAATACGGAAATGTCTGCCTAAATAAATTGCTTTGTCTGAAAAATAGATAATGACGTTATATGAGATACGTCATCGCCTGTACGTCAGCTAGCAATATCAGAGTCTTATTACAAAGTTATTTATAGTTCTACTGTAAATCAAAATGTGTAGTATTATATCCTAAACGATGTACGTTCTTTATATAAGCTCAACTGTAAGCCTATCAGGAAGGAGAAAAAACAGAGGCTATCGTTTTCCATCAGTGATGACTATCTATCCGATTTTGAATGTTTTTGTTGTTTTCATCGTGTTTAGCTTTTAATTTTTTTGAATATTAATTTTGTCTGCATGTGGCAATGTTTTGATAGGCACTGCAGCACCACATTGCTGACATATCGCCCAGGGTCAGACTTGGAGCTTTAACAGATAAGTAGTGCTTCCGATAGTACCATTTAAGATAAGTAAGTAGATAAATGTTGAAAGATGTAACAGTTACATTCATCGCTAACCTTGAAATCAGCGGTAGAACGGAGAACCAATGTACATACATGCTGTAAAGACAACAAACGGTCATAGGTAATTATATTTCATTTTCTAATGATCAGATGCTTCATATTTCAGACTTAAAACCATTTAGACTTATTTTCTTTTGAATGAAAGTAAGTAAACTCTACGGTATCTCTAGCTATGAATTATTTTACACTTGCAGACAGGTTATAAAATATATTCGGTTTCATAAAAACGGAATATTTGTCGATTTATCAAGGAGGGCGGATGATCTCACTTCCGTGCCACGTGTTTCAAATAAAATGAAGTTTTTTAATGAAATGCATTTTAATGTATAAATAATCTAAAAATCTATTAAATATGGGTTTGCAGAATTGTTTATAAGATAAATATAATAGATAAAATACAAAACTATTTATATATTTTTTTATTGATAGTAAAGCTTCACCCTGATACAGAAGACACCGCCTAATGTATTTGCTTAATTTTGCATGAATGAATTTGGAAATGTTCACTAGCAAAATGTGAGATCCTTTTTTTGGGTTATATCTTAGATCTAAAATCAGGACCCTTAGGCCCTCCTCTGGCTATCCCCAAATATATGTACTGGTTTGGTTGAACAACGCTGGTGGCTTGGTATGGTGCAACACGGAGCTGTAAATAAAATGAACATTGATCCCGAGCGATTATAAATAAATTGAGGCTGCATGACATTAAAAACCAATCGGGTGTGAAAATTGCTTTTAAATATAATCGGTATTAAAGTATTACATTCTTGTGAGTGCACTATAACCCAAACCAAATCCTGATAAGAATTTGTCGTCTTAAAGCATTTATTTATTGAAAGCTATCTGTGGTTTCTGGGATTTTTGGTTTACATGTAAGCATATCTTTACATGTTTTATAAATAAGGTGAATGGTGATATATGGACATACACTTTAATATAAAATAAAATATAAATGTTAACATGAAAAACGAGTTAAGTGTAGCCATTTATTATACTTAATTTAGAACGTTGTCATAAGCACATTTACCATAATCTCTTTAATGCTAGCAGAAACGTCGTTTCAAAAGACGTCCACAATAACTATGTATTGTAGATACCTTTGCTGGGAGGGTAAGAATGCCAAATTCTTAAGTCCTCAAAGCTTCTCTCCCACAGCATATCCATAAAATGGTTAATGGGTGAATAAACAAACTCTACAAGTTCACTGGCTTTTGATTTCTGTGGTTCGTGGAAATCCGATAAAAACAAAGCTGTTCTCTTTGCTACTTGTCAAGTGGACTGTGTTGACAATTTTGCATACAGTGCACCGCGTTGGTATTGCTAATGTCACAACACTTAATAACTTTATAACTGTCACATTCGTCAACCAAACAATCATTTTTGAAACACTTAGTTGCAATGATTTTACATTTTTTACCAATTCCTTTAAAACTAACAGTACATGTATACATGTGTTCATGTTTCAATAAGTATACATGTTTCAATAAGTATGCATACATGTATAATTGTATATATTATCTCATACGATGTAAATATTAAGGCACTTCGATGGTTGACTGAGACTTCCTATATTATGCAAGTTGTTCCCATCTCTTAATAAGCTTAGTGTGCAAGAAAAGAATTGTCACACACAGCCTCTGAACTTCTGTATTAAGTCATCGCTGGTCATTACAATCCCCTTATGGGACCTATGTGATTTTACATTTTATTGGATTCTCTCATTTCGAAGACGGTTTCATCGAAACTTTTGCCTTCAAGACTACATGTATAAGGCCAAAAGAAAAAATAGTCTTGTTTCCTGTCCCCTGACCCAAAAAAATAGGGTAGGTAGGTAGCGAAAAATTTTTATTTTGAGAAAAAATTTTATTTTCAAAATTCAATGAATGCAGGACATATAGCAGATAATAAAAATAAAACAGTATGTTAACAGTTTACAAAGCAAGTTTGTTAATGAAGATTTATAAGGTAAAAGTATCCTGTACACTTGTGATGTATTTAGTTCTATAAATATTGTTGGTCGAACAGTATTTCAAAAAAACGAAAATATAATAAAAACTTTTAGGGTCGGGGGGTAAAATATAGGGTAGGTCGGGTGACAGGAAACAAGAGTATATTTTATTTTGGCCTAAACTGAAAACAGACTTAGGTCAAAAGAACTCTTGAAGAAATATTGAAAATAAAAAAAATATTGTATCGAATGAATTCATATATTGAAATTCTACAAACATAGAAGTGGTGGAACGTAATTGTCAAATTTTATGTTGTTGGGGCAAGAGTTTCTTGTCCTTGCTCTTACTTTGAGAATTATAAGAAATTCTTATTTGACGTTGGGTTTTTATTACAACCAACATAAGCTCTGTGGAGCTTTTAACTGATCAATTCCGCTAGAACGATATTCTTCGAATCAAAGTAGAAAACAACAAACACATAAGTAACTGTTGGATAGTTCAATTTTAATTGTATCTACTGCACTATGTGCACTAGGTACATAGTTTATGGGACAATTTTAACATAGATATATACAAAATGTAATAAATATTCTTTGGTAACAATTACATATCTTATACAAACAATAACCATGGAAACAAAACAAAACATTGTATATCAATACAATATAGGCACCATCAATAGTTTAGGACATCTATAAATAGTAACAAATGTGATTACTTTTGAAACAAGTGAAGTCATGTGGAAGTGACATAACTTTTATCAAAGACCTGGAAAACGACTGATTCCCGCCACTTAGGCCGGTGAATATAGACTTTTTCTCAAAAATCATGTTTGTTTATGAGTCACTTTCGACGAACAAATATATTTAAGGATTTCAGTTTGAGTAATCTGAATGTCGTATTAGTATTATGCGGCTAGAAAGCGAAAATGGCATTCGAAAACGATTCTAGTGCTTTGATTACGACTTAAATCACCTCCAATTTCTGAAGAGTTCCTAAGTCCATTTGGAATGTTTGACCTTACATCAATGCCCCCGTCACAAATCGTTTTCAATTTTAATATACTGGCCATATCACATGACTATTACAATATTTTCACTACTTCTGATGGATTTCCAACAATATTTAAGCTACCAGTTCGTGAAATATAAATGTTAAATGCAAAAATGGCATTAATGAAATAAATTAATGTTCACACGCGATCGAACTTCACATCCTTTTTAACAACAGGTTTTGAAAAATTATTTATATTCAAAGGGCAAAATATTCACGACACCAATAGCGCTATCCAAATAATTTACTTTTATAGTCTAAAATGACCTTAAGTTTTGGAATGTTTTAAGAAAAAAAAATTGGACATATTTGACGTCACTATGTATCTACATAGGACAAGCATTGACATTGTATATACCCGTGTTTCCGATAAAAACCTATCTAATAACCTGTCGTGCCAAACAGAATCATTCCAAGTGATCCGCTTTGTTTTTCTGGGCTCCGATTGGGGACGGATCATTCTCTTCAATCCGGAGCCCACAACACACATTCACTCTTATCCAATATCAGTGCGCATAATATAATATTATGTCTGCCACATTTTTAATGCATTGAACATTTTGAGTTATGGCTAAAATTACGGTAGCCTGGTCAGGTGTTTATTTACACACTTGATGACCGATACAAGATATATATATTGCATTCAGATAAACTGTTTGAAAGAAGTCAAGTTCTTCTCTCTATCACAATGGCGACCCCTTTGGGTCTAGAAAGACGTTACATGTATTTCACTGCTATGCTCATTTTACACACCTCCAAAGTAGAACCACTAAAACAGTCCACTCGGAATCCCTTTGCTGCTTTGCAAATCACATCGTGCTATACCAATCACATCGGTGGGTACCTTGAAGCGCTCCTGGAGAACACATTTTGAAAATTTCTCCCTCAGGAAAAGCTCCGGGATAAAATAGTTTTAAATCCTAAAGAAACATTAGTTGTATTTCACCTATCAATACCGTTAGGTTTTTCTAGTAAATGGCGTCCCCTTAGTCTACCACGCCGCAGATTTTTTCTCCGTTTATGTCGAATTTTTCTCCGCCGTTTTTGTTTATTTTTATTTTTTCTTTCATTAGGAAATACATATCCTGGTGGTAATTTGTCGAAGTCATAAGGCTGTGTTCTTACTCTTAGATCTATTATTTCTAGCTCAAAATGATGACATCTTTCGTGATTTTTCCCAGGTCGAATGAAACCGGGTAACTTTCTGCCATTTTTCTTGAATCCGACTGACCAATCGGGTCTGTCACGGAGCTTAAAGGTATGGTAACCCAATGTTGTCAGATTTTGTGAAAAATCACAGCTGTGCGGCAAGGATCTCGGAGGCCTATTCTGTAAAAGAAGAAGAAATATACATAAGTCAAGTTGTTGATTTAAAAAAATATATGAAAATCTAAATGACAAAGCCCAGGATATTTTTAATAAACTTGTCATTTTAAATAAATGCCATTTACTTTTAACCATTAACACCTGAGCAAAAGGTATGATTACATATTACATTCTCTTTCAACAATTGTGCTAACACGTTCTTACAAAGAAATTTTTCTCTTCATTTAACAGTCAGTACGAGTAAATTACAGGGTGACTGGTGACCATCAAAAGACATTGTTTAAATTTACAAATATTCTATTGTTTTAGCAGATCCCTGTTAATATCTGCGAAACACCTGTGGTAAAAGTGACATGTCTCTCGACTTTTGACCTCGGTGAAATGTTAATTCTCAACCTAATCCATGGTATGTTGAATAACTTTTGTTATTTGAAATCTAGGATCCTCCTTGACAAGTTATGCCTATCCAAAAATGAAATTTAATATTCGATGGGAATCACTGTAAACAATTTCATTTTCATCCATAGTGCTGCTTACAGTTCTGTTTAAACGTAAACTAGAAGCAAATACTAGCAATGATACACATAAAATGCATTTTTAAATATAAACTTAATTTTTATTATTTGACCTTTTCCTGTTTGATTGTTTTTGAGTGTTTTTGAGTGTGTGTGTTTTTCTTTTTTAAAAGTTATTTTAAAAAAATCTTTTTTGGTCATTTACCAATTTGTTTGAAAGCCGTGTATTCTCACTCGCCCTGGTATTTAGTAGCACCTGAACACGATAAATTGTCACTCACATGACAAACCTATCAAAAAAGTTTCACCCAGACCAAAAACTTAATCCGAAGTTCATTGCCTCCCGGATTGTCGGAGCGGTGGGAGGTATATGTTGGCACTGCTTGGGGTCTCTATCATTTTGCTACATAACACAAAGGTCGTAGCATGTTTCCAATGCTTGGAAAGTCATGAGGTCACAAAAACGTTATAAGGAATTTGATAACATCGTCAAATTTTAAAGTGACGCATGTACAGGTTTGAATTCCTGAGATATGGTCAACTATCATGTTTCGTGTGTTATATTTCTATAGTGAGATTAAACCGTGCAATACGATTCCATTGTTTTTTCAAGACGGTGTGCTTTCTAACTATCGCTAACTGTGCGGGCTGAAATCTTCCGGGGATGTTCCTTAAGTCTTTATCAAGCAAACAAAGGTTTTACAAGTGACATGTTGTGTCTCTCTACCATTATTGTCACTTGAGAAAGTCTCTCCTGTTATGACATGGTGGTGTACGGCCACGAAAGAATAGAACAAAACCAGTTTATAGACAGTTTAAATTATAATGCCTTATTTAGCATACTATACTTTAAATAAACATTGTTTACTTCTAGTCCAAGAAATTATATCAGCTTCGTTGCTACGGTGTGTTTGTTTTCATATTTATTTTCGTTTTAGCATTTTGACTTGTCTGAATTAAATTCTAATACAGCTGGCAAATGACAGTATAATATCAAAATAAAATTTTAATAAATTCAGTCGAATTACATTCATTAAGAAATTAATTAGCATTTCCTCGGCTATCATTCGCTGTGGTTTCAGCTCAAAGATCTTTATTTTACGGTCTGGTAAACAAACGCGCCAAGCTCTCTTTTTTTGGATATGCGTTTGGTTGGCGGCCTATCCTGTACAAGAAAAGCCAACTCTGGAATACTTTAATTCTCTCCGCGTAATCTTTAGCTGTATGGCTAAGGAAATGAAATGCTCTGGCCAAATTTTACAAAATCCATTTGGAACACAGGTGGGGGGATTTAATCGGATTAGTGGCGAACACAGGTGCACCGTTCGGCATGAAGTTAACCGCACGAGTTAGTTGCTAAAAAAAATTGAATAACTCTATTCCTTATTAAACCTTTGGTCATTTATTAGGGTCATTTCTGTCCGAGTCAACAAATATTCTCTAGATTTAATAATTGTAAAGAAGTTGTGAACTTTCCAACTAAATGAATTGAGCGTTGCCTTGCTTGTGTCGAAGTAAATTTGCACTTACTAATACACCTTCAAATAAGTTACTTATAATATTTAATAATATAATGGTGACAATTCTTAAAGACTTTATAATTCATTATAATGGATTTTACAGTAAAGTTTCTTTATGGAATGTAAAAAATTTATAAGACTTTTCTGTAAAAATTCTCTCCATTCAAATGCTTTTTGGAGTTGGCTAAACAAATCCGGAGAAGACATTATAATTCATATGCATGCCACATTTTAATCTTGAAAGAAATGTATATGTAAATTTTGAGGGTCTGAATTAATTTCAGACGACATTGGGTTTTGATTATCAGTGGCTTCTCCCAGAAATATGTGACGATATGACGTCACAGATGATCACTCACCCGTATCCGCAGTTTGCCCTTCTTGTTAAAGCACAGGAATAAATTGTTATCCATGCCTTGGATTCGAAGAAAACCCCCGTCTATGGAGGTAACCTTAAGAAGAGCTGAAATTATACGAAAGTTAAAACAATCACTACATGTACAATTAAAAAATTATCTTTGAAAAGTGATAAGTATGACTATTATGAATAGGTAGGTGTCATCAAGTGAAAACGAGACTGAGGTCGTTTTGTAGCAGTCAAATATTGTAGGAATGTACTAATGTTATCATGGTAAATCATAATTATATTAAAAAGGGACCCGCTGTTTGAGATACGTCGCTTATTTATCAGCCCCTTGTACATGCTCGGTAGAATTTATAATCAGAAATGGAATTTAAACTATCTCAACATTTCATAATAGGTAACTTAAAAAATGTTGAATGATGCTTGTGTTCATTCCTAATTCTACACCGGATAATAGCTATGTGCATGTGGGCAAACTAGCATGTCTTGTAATTTAAACCACCCAGAATATCCTCTAACCCGTCTTTATAGCAGTTTATTCTTTATTTAAGATTATGTCATTTTCACACTTAACATCCAGTCTTATGATATACTTTTAACAAAGAGACCCATTTTAAAAAAATGTGCACAACCCTTTTAAAAAAAAAAAGGGCTACCAAGCCATCGGTTACATTGTACATAAAGGATGCATGTTCCTGTAGGGATGGGAATATACCCCAAGTTAAATCAATGTGGGAACCCGTTCATGGATAGGATATAAGAATACTAGATGAGTAATTTACTATCCCAGTTTTCTTGTAACTTTGCTTTACTTACTGAAGTCTTTCCCCTTTGTACCAGTAGTAGCTTTGCTATACTTACTGAAGTCTTTCCCCTTTGTACCAGTAGCGTCCACGCCTCTAGACCCAGGCTTTTTTATTCGAACAAATTTCTTAGAGCACAAATTCCACAAGTAGCCTTTTCGTACCAAACTTGTTTGCGGCCCGTTTAGAGTTTCCGGTAACTTTTGTAAATCAAATTTGAAACCCGAGACAACCTGAAGAGAAATTAAAAATTGTTATTTTTCCATACTCTTTATAGTTAGAAATAAGTTGGGGACACAAAGCAAACGATCAATTAAGATTTTAATTGCTCCATGTTTTTGATCTACATCATTCTCAAGAATGTAAGCCATTTTGTGTAATGATACGAGCAGAAAAACTAGTAGTAATAAATTCATAAGAATTGACCAGTGATGCAGTAAAAATATTCGAAATTTTCATCAAAGCATAACATTTTAACATTGATAACAAACGGAAGAACGGTTTATAAGATTTTTTCTACAGTAAAAAATGTTCGTAATTCACGCAGATGAAATGCTCTGTGCAAGCGATCAAAAGTACAGCTATTTAATGTATCTTTACATCAATCAGTGCAGTGCTTTGCGATTATATTTATTGGAATTAAACTTCATTATATAACACTATAATTTGGTCTTTAAAGGCTACTTTAAAAGCTTTAAGTTTGAGGGGATTTTTAAGAGAATGTCGATTGTGTGTGTCCTCCGTTTATGGTATAACGACCCTGTGAGAAATCAGTTTTAAAGATTTTATATACATTGCTGATTTGTAAGTCATCTATCAAAAACAACATTAAAATACTACAGGCTTCTAAAACAGCAGGGGTCGCTTATTTCTTTACATTAAAATCACAAATGAAAATATTTGAGTTATTTGTTTAAATTGTTTATGAATGTTTAAATACACATCTTACAGCCGTTTAAATCTACAAATATACTTTGCCTTTTTCTGTCTTTTATGTGATAATTACTTTAAATGCATCAATTACTAAACATTAATTTTTTAAGCCCGTCGCTTGCAAAAAGTTAATTAGGGTCGTATCAAATGGAATTATAGACCAACTATCTAAAGTTCATACAAATGTATTACAATCTCACAACTAACAACGAAGTCTTATTCAGAGAAACAACACACAGTATTTCAACAATAGGTCGACGATATGAGGAACTAGTATGAAAATCTACAGCAAATGATTCCCTTTCTTTGATATTCTTTTCAGTTCTCGCGTTTGTTCATTTATTTCAAACATTTCTTTGAATTCTTCTAAGAATTTGATATTAATTATATGAATTCAATATCAAAATTGTAGCATTCCATAGATTTCTAAAAATAAAATCATTGGGGAAAAATCAATATAGCTTTCATAATTGTGCATTTTTAAACTATTTTTCTGTGTTTAAAATAAGTTTTGAAATGTGTATTTATTTTGCCCGGAATCCTATTGGTGCCTGAAAGGGAGATGATCAAAGACTAGCATGCTGATACAGGTATATTTAACAACTAATAAGTCGCCAACTGAAGCATGTCTGAAGCACAACTGAAGCATAACTCAAGAGTCCCACGCCGTCAAAATATTTATGAAGATTGAATGAAATGAGGGAACTTGTTTTAATTGATGGAGCCTTTTCTATAAAATATATGCACATATATTCATATTTTATCAATCGTTTCCATGACAAACCAAGATCACAAAATTTTTTACCTGAGTATTCTTTTTTAAAGAAATATACATGAATGAGATTTCCTTTTCAAAAAAGGCGTGAGAATCTAATTTTCCAACAGACCATTTCTTTGTATCGATAGTGATGACGAAATACTTTTATAGAAAGATGGTATTTCAAACGGATAGCTCAGATTGATGTTTAAATTGACGAGTTTAACCAAAGGTTGGTACCTTTATATGCTCGATCTTTTGTAACGGATCTTGTTAATTTGTAAAGTTGCATGTTGGACCTCCTGTATAGAGAAATAAAAAGCCTGTATCTATCCCGTCGTAAATCATTACCCAATTTGTGAACGAAAAGGACGATATTTTGTCAACCTCCGATAAGAAATCGGTCTTATAAACGCTTACAACATTCTGGTCCCTGGATTGAAAATAAGACCCAGTTTATTTTTGGAGAGAGAAAGAGACAGACAGAGAGAGAGAGAGTTGTGAAAATTAGAAAATGTGTGTTTACTGATAAAGTCATAAATTCAGTTCGTTCTCAGAATAAGTAAATGCGGTTTCATCTAGTGTAAAATATTAAAAGCAATGACTTGCCCCTTCCCCGAATTATGGCTTTGATTTTGCAATTCCTGAAAAACTTCACGCAGTGCTTATGATTTTCGTAAAAAAAAATTTCTTTTGAAGTCTGAAATTATACAAAATATTAAATAAAAATAATCCTCTGATTCTTTTAAGAATATCTATTTATTTATCATCTAGTTTGGCGTAATCTTACTGTTTTACGTACATCATTAGAAAAACCAGTGAATGGGTAGTGCATTCCTGAAGTTCGAAATCAACTTGTCTCCGAGTGCTAACCTAATGTGCTATTATTTGTTTTATTTATTAAGACTTTGTGGGGAGTGGGGAATGTTCTGTTATCTAGGTCTTGTGAAGAGTGGTTAGTTGGTGTTTTAAATATTTAATGATCATAGGATATGATAAAGCAATATAGATAACATTAAAAATATCCCAATCGGTTCGAACTAATATCTGCCGTGTAGAATCCAGTTCTAGGGGAGTCTGTCATATGTCTTACAAACACATGCGGTGCCTTAAAGTACATGTTAAATACCAAGACGAAGAACTGCAATATGACTAAAAGAAGTAACGGTGGCCTGTTCTGGTGTTTTAGGGGAATTTAAAAACTTCACTTTTGACTCTGGTCAGACCTGCATAGACAAATGATTGTGGTGATTTTAAAGTGGGTGGGGAAAAGTTTTTTTTTCTTTTAAAATTCCACTTGAATCCTGATTGGAGAGCAGTCACATGTAAAGCTAATTCAGATACACATGCAAAGTATAATTATGCAGACAGATTTTATGTTTATTTGCATGTTTTATTCATGGATTCTGTCTTTCCTTGCGCATCTGTCATACAAAGGAATTTTTGATGCTACCAATTTTCCTTAAATGGCCCTTAAACCAGAGAATGGTTCAACCCTGAATGAAGACCAACCTAAGAATTTGAAGTTCATTTAGTAGATTATCATTATAAAGTACTTGAATGCTTCTACTTTTATGTACTTAATAATCTATTAATCTGATATACATTAATGCACAACATCATATTTGGTAAATATGCAGATATATTCTCTGATACTGTACCAAGCCACGGTCTGCATAAACACGTTAAAGTATACGACACTAGGAGATAAGGCCTCATATTTCTCTTTGATGTTTTGAAATATTGCCCCTTATACAGGAGTCAATATATTAAAAAATACAGTACTGAGAGAGAGAGAAAGAGAGAGAGAGAAAGAGAGAGAGAGAGAGAGAGTTGACCTAGCCGTTTCCTCCAATTTCGTGAAGAGGACATGGAGACTAAACCTCACGTTAATCTGCCAATGGCGGTCAGTCGGTCAATATTTGTCGAGACATTGAGCAAATAATTAGAGTTAGATAGAAAACAGCTACTTTTGTTAAACCACAGTAAAAAACACCAAAGCTGTCAATGAAGTAGAAAGGTTCGCAAAGTTGATATGCCGTTCTCTGGTAAATATCTAGGTTTGAACCTTTCAAGTCGGTTCATGTAATTTTGACCAGTGCACTTAACTATTAGCTGTGTTCAGACTGATGTGATTTACAGCTAATTTCAGAGTTTGCAATCTTGTAGACCTTGTAAATAATACTAAAACAAGTGTTTTTCTGACGTAGGCGGAACGAGAAATTATACCAGCCTCGTGTTCTGACTTCAATTAAACAAACTTTTGAGTTGTAAGAAATACATGTCTGCAGTGGTTGCCATAAATACGAAGAAATAGGCCAAATCTCGTATAGATCTCGTATAGATTTCTGTGAGAACCTATGAAGCGTTACAGGTTAACTAACTTTTAAATATGTTTTTCAAAAATAAAAGACGTGTATTATTAAAATATTATCGCGTGAAATTCTCCTCAAGTGTTTATCTTTAATTGCCATCCGAATCACTTTTCCTTGCAAGATTTTGTGCCCAAGTAGCCCAAATTGATCCTAAAAATAAACACTCAAGAGGCGATCATTGGCTTTAGTGAAATCGGACTCCTATCGGTCCAGACCCCGGACATCTCAGTACCACACACGACGTCCTCAGTCAACAATCGTGTGTAACTTGTCGGCACCGACCTAATTATAACAAGGACTAAACAAGAGTACATATCTAGTGTATATTTATTAAGCATATTGCTTCTAGGCACCAATCACCCGCTTCGCTTTTATTTGGTATTCGTATTATATTTGATTTAAACAGACATAGAGAGGCTCTCACAGACACACATACTCAAAGTGATGAAAGGGTGGGATCTGTTATTAATTTCTTAATATTTTTTCCCATCCCCCCATGCCTTCTGCTTTCTGGAAATTCAAGTTAAGTTGAGGACATCCTTAACTAAGTATAATCCAGTATAACTCAACATCATGAAGTTAAATTTGTTTGAACATTCTTAAATTCTGGTTTATACGATGCATACTATCAATTCAATTTTCTAGTAATCAATGGACAATAGTTACTCTCCATAAACTCTAGTTACATCTGAGGGTATTTTGTATTAGTGTGGGTCAAATCTGAACTCTTTAATATTAAAAATAAGATATTGGAACATTGTCCATCATTCAGCTAGATTTTATACCTAAGCTACAACTGACTGGAATTTTACAATTTTATACAACATTACTGAAGATCTGGAACGATTGTTACACGCAATGTCGAGCCGTTTTCTCCTTATTTCTTATTTTTCAACAGAATTTTTGTGACCTCTACCAAGGTTCAGAAGAAGGTTTCGGTAAATGTCTCACTTAAGTCAGCGGTGCCGTAAAAGTGTGACGGAGCTTGAATGATAACTGCATAGTGTCCACAATTCACTTTACTTGCTTACTTCTGCTAATGATTAATGAATCTTCCAAAAGGTTTCTTAAACATCAAATTTGCGCCTCGATGACTTTCACCATTTTTTCGTTTTTGCATGTCCGTCTTCTATGCTTGTAACAAATGTTATAAAACACGGAATACGCCTTCCTCTTCTTTGCGTTTTACAAGACAACAACTTGTTTCACTGAATTTTTCCTTGCAACATAACCTACATATTTAGATTCAAGGTTTTAACAGAATTGCACCGACCATACATTTACATTGCTTAAATATCAGACATCACCTGCACAAGGGGAAAACTATAAAAAAAAAAAAAATCAGAATCTATTTTAAGTTAGGAGAGTTTCAGACGATTAATCATTCATAATTGACCAGCATCTAATTGTTTTGTTGTGGTTATCGGATGAAAAGACAAACACTTACTAGCAAGACTTAACGACAAACAACAAAAAGTCGTGTTTTACGACATATAACAAGTAGAACTACCAGTTTACGACTGCTTTTAAAGATAAACAAGGTCAACATTGTGGAAATAAAACTAGAGACAATGAATGCTACATCTGACTTCAGACTTTTAATTTTTGGGGGATTTTAGTTTTACGACGCTAAAAATATCTGAAGCTCTTTGGCAGATAAAGGGCACAATACCAATGACATACAAATAACTAAGTAATTAATCGTTGACTGTAACAGAAATTTTGCGGTTTGCATAATTGTGTAAGTGAAATCAATTTTATGGTAGCATGTTAGGAACACATCTCTGATTGTTTCATAATGAAGATAACACGTAGAAGATATTCGTAACAAATCGAATAGTTGCATACATTAAACAAATAAATGAAAATTAATGCATTTTAACAACAGAACATGACCTAATTACACAAATTATAGAAATGAATTCACTTTTATAAAATATGCTCTTACCTGAGAAAAATTCACTAAGCACAACAGTAAAATGAGCAGCAGCTTCGACGACCTGCAATTAAACAACAAACTCATAAATGACGTCATAAAATTCTGATCTCATAATTACAAGCTCTAAATATATATTGCGGGAGTTGCGGTGTAGCATGGGCGAAGTCAAGGCAAGGAGAACCGACATCACAGAATAGAGACAGTGCCTTAAAATTAAGAACACGTCAAAAACCTGTTTTAAAAGCATACATCTGCATCAACTTAATTTGGGCAACATTACAGACAGCTATAGCGGAATGTATGAAGTTTCTTGCCATTAGCCACACCATTTAAGGAAAATAATTAAGACTGAAAGGGCATGTCTTCTTTTTAAAGAATCCGTGTCGAATAATATACTAAAAGTACTCTCAGAGGCATGTTAATGGACAAAGAAAAAACTAATGGATTGTCCGACTTTTATTATTTAGCATTTATAAGGAAATCTTGAGAATTTATCATCATATGTTTATATGTGCATAAGTTTCTATGTTCTGCTGTTTGAAAAGAAATTTAACCTACAATTTCCGGAATGTAGCTAGCATACTCGAGTAACTTAAAAAAAGAACACAGTCTTTGAAGGTTCAATTTACAGATCATCTACTTTCAATATATGTTGAACTTTCAAAATATGCGTGTACTTTATCCCTCACAAAAATGCATTTGCTTGATTTGAGTTTGTGGGATATTTATTTGATATAGTGACACACTATCATCAATCAAAGACTAGTGTTTGCTCTGCATGTTTGGATATTGTGGACTGGTCGTTGCGTAATTTCTCTGAAGCTGAAAGCATAGCATACCTTAAGGTGATCACACCTGAACGGTGTTTGTTGCAAATGGTGTATGGTATAAAGTATACCCTTTCCTGTGCTCAAATATTTGGCAAAAGTGTAAAAGGCTAATCCATTTGTGAAATATTAATCGGTGAGCATAAACAAAACCAGACATTTTCTTTTTCACAAGCGTCTTTAAGCGGGTGTAACTTAGTGTGAGACACACGGATAATTACTTCTTGCTAAACTCCAAATTCCTACAGATCATGTCTTTCACCTGAGCAAACATCGGGTTCGGTAATCAAAATGCTCAGCCACACGAAAGGTTTGTATCGCAAATTTCTCAAGCGCTTATACATATTACTTTCAATGAAGCTTA